ATGCAGTGATTTGATAATAAATATATATACAGTGGGTGATCGATTAATGAACAAATCAGATAACGAACACTTTTGCAAAAGATTTTTATGTTTGGACAACAAACAACACAAGAAAAAGCGACATAAAATAATGAATACTGATTGGTCTTCCCTTGTCTTCAGGCAACAATTCAGAACTTTTCGGAGCGCGGGAGACGTCAACATCGATGCTCAACCCGTATATACTGGTTGAATAGTATTCTTCCGAACTTTGAAACTCTCTCTTGTAATTTCAACCTTTTATTTTTCTGACAGAAACAATTTTTTTTTATAGTATTTGTGAGACTGTTGGGCAGGCACATGTTAAGTTTTGCATTGGTTTTTGTTTTTGAAAGGTGAGAGTATAACAGCAAAGGTAGAGAGTGGCCAGATGTCTGATGTTACTGGGAAGTATGACTTGAACAGGTCTACAGAGGCTGCAGTTCAATCTTATCCAAGAGAGATACAATATAATCAAGAAGACTCAAACAGCTAGAGTAACAAGAATCACATCTGAGAAATAAAGAACATTGAAGTGCTCATAATGGAACCTGAAATGGATCTGATGACAGAAGAACACCAAGAAACTCGATGAGATATGCTTTCTTCTGAAAAAAGAGGATTAATGCCGATATCTGCTATTAAAGATCTTTTGAAGTGGGAGGATGTCAGAACAACGGTCTTAGAATGGTATCCAAACCAGGTTGAGGTTAATAGGCTTAGAGATCTCTACAATTACAATACTATTAATTACTTCTGAAAAATCCTGAAAAAAAGAGAGAGAAGCAATCAACATTAGACAGATTCTTTAACCCCCACAAACGAAAAAACATGACTATAAATTTAATGCGATATGACAGCATAACTGCCTACCTCTAGTTAACTGCTTGTTAAATTTAAACAAATTACAAAAGTTTGAGTTTAAATTACCATGCAACATTTTTATGTACTCATCATACATATCATTTCTACAATACAAAACATATGAAAACACCAATCTCTATACCTACATAACTGGTTACAGATTGGACACACAGGAGGACCTCTCCTTCATAAGGTGCAATTCAGCCTAAGCCTCGCTATCTGTTTCTTCACCACAATATACAGTCTGTTTCAAAATTGTAAACACACCCAACATTTTTCAATAACAAAAACATTAACTATAGTAATATATTTAAACATAGTTACAAACTAAAATATTGATATTAAATTTAACAGTAACTAAATCTATTAAAATACATATGTATTTAATAAAATGAGTTGAACGTTTCCTGACCCTTCAGTAATTGTTTTAATTATTAATTTTCTAAATTATATTGTAATANCATATATTATGATTATAACTTACAAAATATATATTGTAAAATGAAATTTATGGAAAAGCATCATTATATACATCTGTAGACATACTTTGGATAAGAAGAAGCATTTGATTGACCAATTCAAAAAAATACATCACAGACATTTGGGTTTCCAGTTCAAATGAAACTTGGTGAGCATATAGCCCTAAATACAACATGTTAATTTAAAACAAATATGTGAATTTAAGGTAAAAACAGTTATTGTGAAAGCATGAATCAATTGCAAAAATTGAATTCCTGTGGCAAGTTTCATAGAAATTCTTACGCCAACAAATTTTAATTATATTTGAAGATTTAATATGTAAATTTGAATTTTATTAATATTAAAATACATATTGAATATATACAAAGGATATATTCAGAATTTATAATATAAAAAATAAGTATTGTTTCATAATAATTTTGAAATATTTGAAAATTTTATTCATTTCAGAGATATGGAACAAGGTATAACACAACCCCCTATGATGACTTTTAAACAATTTCTTGGCTCTCAAGATGATGCTATTGATGATCAAGAAGCTGTGAAAAAGTATAATGAATATAAATTAGAATTTAAAAGACAACAAATAAATGAATTTTTCTTGAATCACAAGGAAGAGGAATGGTAAGTTTTTATTTAATTTTATTTCATAATATAGGATCTAAAACATATTTAAAATTTAAATAGAAATATTAAAGTGAAGCTTAATTTCAAATTAAATTTTTTAAATATTAAAAAAATGTTTATTGATGTTAAAAATTAATTTATTTTACTAAAAAATAAGTAAGTACTTTGTATGGGAAAAATCATTTTGTAAGTGTATAATGCTCTGTAAAAATATAAAATTTTCATATAAAAATTAATCATATTGATCCAGTTTTAAGAATAATGTGTGAAATTGTAAATAATTGTTTGCTTGTATAATACTTTTTCATGCTAATTCTTTTGCATCAAAAGGCTGATGATTATAAGATAATTTGAAATAAATATACAATGATGATCAAGAATATAAAATAGTCACAAAGATAATTCTTACAATATTATCATTATTGGCAANATTTTGGGGGGTCTCCAGAACGAATTAATCAAATTCCCATAAAAACCTACGGTAAAGTGATAATCGGTTAATGAATAATTCGGATAGCGAACAATGTCTTCGAACAGATTATGTTCATTAACTGATCACCCACTGTACTCGTATATATTTAGTAATAGTAACAAAGCATTAGAAATACACATAATTAGCTATTAAGAATGAAAAATTAAAGTACAGATTGTGTTTAGAGAAAGAAAAAGCTTATGTAATTTATCAAAAGTATATTAAATGTAGGCCTACTATATTAAATGTTAGATGTGACTTTTATATTAGATTCAAGTTATAAATAATACTTATTTGGAATTTTATTTTTAGTAATAATTAGATAATTCTTTTATTTTTATATACAAGGGTTATTTTTTTTTAACCTCCACCGACATAGAATAAAAAAACAATAATGAAAAACTAAACCACTTTATTTGTAGAAGGTAGTTACAATCTTCACCTATTTTTCCACATAATTGCCTTGTCGATTCAGGCAGACATCACACCGTGACACCAGCTTTTATATGCTGTACTCACGTCAAAGAACGTTGCCACCAGGCCATTCAGCCAACCTTTAACAACAGTGTGGACCTTGAGATTTGAAGAAACTCCTCACTGAGCTCAGAAATCGTGAATGGATGCCATGCACCAATTGATCTGCACTGGTATTCAAAACTTAAGGACGAGATAGATAAAGTAACAGAACTTATGAACAACTCGATGAAAATGAATGAAAATGCGGGAACTCTCGGTTACGCACAGAAAGCTTGATGTCACATGACGTTAGGTCAGCGCGACTATAGCGCCAAATGCGGCTGACCACACAACACAAGGCAGTTGAAGAAACGGTAAAAGACAGTGTGTGTCAATCAGTGAGCAGTTACAGTGCACTGTGTATTGTTCTTCATTACAACATGGCCCAGAGACAACATTTGGATGACTTCACATGGGGATGAATCATTGGGAGACTGGAAGAAGGATGAAGTGTGATGAGTGTAGCCCAGGAGTTTGGTATTGCTCACAGCATTGTTTCACGTGCATGGGGAGCGTTTCAAACCACAGACACTGCTGCCCAAAGGAGAGGAGGTGGTCGGCCACGATCAACTACAGCAGCAGATGACCGCTACATTGTGCAGCAGGCAATAAGGGACCCATGTCAATCAGCGGTGCAATTGCAACCACATTTAACAGGACTGCAATCTCATGCTCCGTGGCAACTGCATAAGGGTGGTCTCTTTGCCAAACAACCAGTATGTTGTGTTCCATTGACACCAGCACATCGACGGCACTGTTTGCGATAGTGCCAAGAGCGTAGGGACTGGACCGACAAGGAGTGGGGTTGCGTGCTCTTCTCAGATGAGAGCAGGTTCAGTCTGAGTAGTAATTCTGGACGTACCTTCATACGGCAAGAGATGGGAACATGTAATGCACCCAGGAACATTATCGAACATGATCATTTTGGTGGTCAAGGTGTTATGGTGTGGGGAGGCATAATGTTGCATGGGCGTACTGACCTCCAAATCTTTGAACGCAGTTATGTCACTGATCAACGTTATTGTGACACTGTACTCCTTCCCTATGTGCATCTTTTCAGGGGTGCATTAGGCCCTGACTTCATTTTTATGGATGACAATGCTTGACCGCATCGAACAGCGCAGGTGGAGGAGCTCTTGCAGCAAGATGATATTCAGCGAATGGACTGGCCTGCCCATTCCCCCAACTTAAATCCCATCAAGCATGTGTGGGATGTGTTGGGGAGATGTATTGCAACACATCCACATGCACCAATGACCATCGAGGAGTGGAACACCCTACCACAGGAACTCCTTACCAACCTTGTGGTCAGCATGGGAGCATGTTACACTACTGTCCATGGTGATCACATACCCTATGAAGAATCATGTCCTGCCTTTTTATAATGTCCAGGGGACCATCAGAAATCGCGATGACTTCAGTGTAATTATTGTCGTTGAATAAAAGTGTCATTTCTGTTTGTCTCATTGCGTATTTCTGTCAGTTACCTTCTGTACTATACTGTATGGGCCAAAGTTTCATCAATCTTTGTTACTTGGCAGTGACACAACATGCAATTGTTATTTTCGTCCTTAGGTTTTGCATACCAGTGTACTTTGTCCATCAAATTGTCGGTCACCACACACTTCCTCCCTTGACCACCCTCATCATGAACGTTGACCAAATTTCCTGCACCATTCACACACACATCCATAGCTCATGAGGTTCTTATCATACACATTACACATCCTTCAATGAATTTCACCTCCATTCAGCCCTTCAGCTTGTAGAAATTGAATTACTGCTCTTATTTCACAGTTGGCGGGAGAATGGATTGGTGGCATCATGTTTATGTGTTTACTGTACAGTAGCAAATGTCTGAAATAGCTTGGCACAATGCTAAGTGTTGAGGGAATATACTACTTATTAGGTGTGCACCCTGTCCCTGTCTCACATGCTTCCAGTTTTTTTTATGCATTAGTGGAGGTTGAAAAAAAATAACCCTCGTATTATTATTAAATACTAGTTTTAATGTACTGTTTAGTTCTTAGAAAACATAATGGCAGACAGTGATGAAGAATATGATCGAAGAAGAAGAGACAAATTTCGCAGAGAAAGAAGTGATTATCAGGAAAGACGAGACGATAGAAGTCGAAGGGATGAATGGACTGAAAGGTATTAAATTATCTAATGTTGTAAATCATTAATTTAGTTGTTAATTTTCTAGTTTTATCCCATCTAGTTAATTTTCTAGTTCTAAAATGGATTTGTCATACATTGAGCATGAAAACACTCAATGGACAACAAATTGGGAGACTAGTTAGACCAAATGTGGCAACATGATAATGCTGGGAAACCTAGTTGTGCTCAGCCAAGCATTATCTTACTGGAAAAGGCTGTTTGTAGCCCTGTCATCAAAGGCAACATATGAAGGAGCAGAATTTCCTTAAGATACTGCTTTACCAAGTGTTCCTCACATAACTACTAGAAGTGATCTATGTCATTAGTGGTCATCCACACATTAATACAGTGGCTGTCCATTCCCAAAAAGAACTGAAATTTATTGCTTTGATATGCTGCCAGTCTGTATTGGTCTATATTTCTGTATCGTGGCACCTTTGCAAATGGAGCTACTGTGTTGGGTTGCTAATGGCAAGATGCATAGTGGTTGTAAGTGTATGAAATTTGCCTGTACCTATCAATTGTACAGAAAAAGACAGATTCTATAGCAATGCTTCTGCTTGTCTCTGGATAGTGGACAAAGATGTCATTATAGCTGTTTTTTTTCTTGTCTCACGATCAGACCATCATATATCTTTTTTGGATGCCCAGAGTGATGTATGCGCTTTCCAACACTTCCTCACACTGAGGTCAAAACAGTCCAGAAGTTGGAGAATTTAGCAAAATTGCCATCCTGTTTCCCTCAGTCTGATGATGATGATGGCTTTGTCAAACTTGGTCAGCCCAAGTTTGACAAAGCCATCATCAGGCTGAGGGAAACAGGATGGCAATTTTGCTAAATAAAATTATGCATAATGTCTGACTGTACCATATAGACATGCTTGTTTGACAGAGCAAAATTCTGAACATAGTGAATCTCTAAGAGCCTTTTTATAAGATACTGGGGTAATGATTAAAGGTATTCTGGTATCATTACTGAAATTTTTCAGTAATTACACAATTCAATCTGGATGTCTATCCTTTCTTATCAATGAGTGTATTTCATATTAATAGAGTCTAAATAAAGTAAATCAAGTGTAAAAAATTACTATGTTTAATTATTTGTTAAAATAGTAATGGCTAGTTTATTTTATATTTATACTATGTACTTTAAAATATATTTTTATTTTTAAAATTTAACATAATTAGTAACAGTTAAAAATATTGCAAAAATACTTCAGTAAATTTATATATTTATTAACAGAGATAGAGGAAGTCGAAGAGAATATCGTGATTATGATCCTAGAAGTAGGAGAGATCGCTACAGCCCACTTCGTCATGATGTAAGCCCTCCAATGAAACGGATTAGAAGAGACTGGTAATAAATTTTTATTGCCTTAATAAATTATTTGGTTTTTAAAAGAAAAGAAAATCACTAAAACTTTACAGCTATTTTTACATGATAATTAATTAATATAATTTTGTACTAGAAGCATTAAGTACCACTTCATACTTTTTAATAATTAGGAATAATGATTGATTAATTTAGAAGTCTAGATGAAAAGATCTGGTGTAGGATGAGACTCAAAACTGCAACTTTTGCAAGCCACTGATATTACTGATCAAGCTATCCAGATCTTTCAAGCAAGATATCTGTCAAGTTTCCCAACATATGATTCATTTCACTTCTATATTTCTTTCTTCAAAATTTCTTAGAATTTCTCAAGTCTTTTTCATCCATTATGCAAGGGGAAAATGTAGGCATCAGTCAACCAATGCTGACATTGGTTGACTGATGCCTACATTTTCCCTTGGAGTATCAAACATTTTACTGTCTAAAAAAATGGAACTATGAGAACCTTATTTAATAGGTTTAGGGACTCAAAGGAATCCTATAAAAGACTAGTACAAAAACTGAACATTTAAAATGATATTTATGGAAAACACGAATTCATTGTATTGTCTACTTATTAGAGATACTACAGTAGGAATGATAGTAAAGTTTTGACTATTTTCCATAACTTAGTATGTTCACTTAATGAAGGAATAAATATATTAATACTCTTATCATGCTGAAAATTGACATTATTTTTCACTAATTTTTAATGCTGCCATCATATTTTTTTTGAAGGTATTTTAAGCATTAAAATAGTGTTTTAATTAAAACACTTGTGAAGTGAATTGAGAAAATATGGAAATTAAAATAGAATTTCTATTTGTTAGGGATGATCGAGGTGGTTTTCCTGGATATGATATAAATTACCCTCCTGGTAGTGGAAATATGATGGGAGGGCCTCCTCATGGAGGTTGGGGTAGTGGTATGCCACAAGATATGGGAATGATGCATAGTCAGCATGGATATGGCAGTCATCAAGGCCCTCAAAGGTAAGATCATGTTTTATATAAATTGTAATCTTTTTGTAAATTTTTTTAATAAATTGTACATTCATAGACATTTTTATTAAAAAAATAATATTTATTTAAATTTAACAAATTGCTTAATAATTATTTTAAAATTTATTTTTCTTTATTTTACTTTATTCTAATTTTTAAAAATTGTTCTAAATTTATTTGTTTTATATGTAACTTGAAGATGAGAATTAGGTCAAATACATGTATTTAATTAAATGTTTTATTGGATTAAGATTTCTTTTTTCTTTAAAATACACATAACTTGTTAAATATCAATGACTCTTTGAAAGTGGGTTATTTCAATCTGTTTTATTATTTTAAATATCTTTAAGCTTGTGTATGGATTTTATTAATAGATAACAATCTAACAAAACATAATATCAAAATATGAAAATTAAACTGAAATTATCTTTTAGCTAAAATTTGAGAAAAATTAGATTTAACAAAATTAAAATGTATATAAATACTCTATGAGTAAAAAAAAGCTATTTTGAAAAATATTAAAATGTTTAACTAAGTGTAAAGAAAACAGCTTGAATGTATTTAATGTTTTATTCAGTTGTTCAATTATTGGAATTATATCTGACATGTGAAAAGAAGTATAATTTAATCTATCAAACTGATCTTTTAGTAGTTGAATGGAAATTTAGATTTATCATGTGAAATATGAGAAAAGGTACAAGCCACAAATGATTAGAAAACATTGTCAGATTTTCTTAAACTAACAAAAAAAGTTTTTTTGCTGATATATGGGGTAATGATACATTCAATGATAAATTCATTGTTACAGGAAATTTCTCTCATTGTTTATGAATTGTTAAAAAATATTCACTATTTACCACTTTTCTCACATTAATTGCTTATAATAAACATTATTTTTTATGTAGCACTTTTTAGCTCTTATTATTATTATTTATAATATAGGAAGGTTATTGTAGAAACTAAAGTTGTATGAGTTACTTAACATGAAACATAAGTGGTGTGCAATTTTCAACTGAAACCAATGGCAGTAATCAGTTATTGAGTTCATTTTGGTATTATATTGAAATAGTTTCATCTTTTAATCATTAATTAATTTTTTTAAAAGTGAAATTTAGTGAATATGGATAAGTTTTAATTGTTTCAGTATATTTTCACTGATGGTTATAAAACTTTTCACTATTATTATAAAAATGCTTATTAATGATAGATGTAGATTTGTTTAATATAACTATTTATTGGAAAACAAAAGGATAAGTTTGAGTTTTAAAGGATTATTGGTAAATGTATCATTTCTGTAAAAATTCTGATTGCTCAATTGATTTGAGCAAAAAATGGCTACAGCAAAAATTAAGATTATTAGATTATTTTGTACTTTTAACACTTATATTATATTATACTATAATATTTGATTTATATTTATAAAGGTTATCTTACATAAGAGTTTATCATATCGAGTGACTAAGCTAACACATTTTTAAAATTCTTTAAGTTGTGTACAGTAGAAGAATAAAGAATTTTTAAAATATGTTAGATTGCTCACTCGGTGTGATAAACCTTTGTACTTACATAAATCAAATACTGTAATATAACAAATGTTAAAACAAAAATCATATAAAGAGTTTGGTTATTTCAGCCTACCATTGCTATGCTTATCACAATACTTGGGTGGTACAAAATGGCACAATTTTATTGGTCAAGTAGATATCAATTGAAAATGCGATGTATTAAAAAATTTATGATGATATAGTAGAGCATCAATTATCCGAATCAATTGGGGGACTAGGAAAATTGATGTTCGGAAAATTGATTTTTTGGATAACCGATTATGTATGAAAAAATACATTATTAATATAGTATATTAGTATATCCCAATAATAGTATATTAATATATCCCATGTTTAAATTTTTCTCTGTTGCATATTGTTTTGTGTTGAATTTTCATCGATGTTAAGCCTAGCGAAAATTTTTATAATAATAATCGTGGCTATTGTATCTTTAAGAATTATTTTTTATTTTGTATAAACAAAATAAATATATTGAAAAATATGAAAACAAAAAAAATTATACTTTAAAAGTTAATCTAGTATCAAAAACATTTGATTCAGCAGGACAAAGTCTGACTGGAATGCTTTTGGTTAACTGACGATCTACTGTATATTTTTTCTAATATTAACTCTAAGAAACTACCATTCACAGCAAATGTCAAATGGTAATCTGCCAACCAATCAAATTTCTCAAAAGAACAGACCAAATATTAAGCTCAACACCTTGGAAAAAACCACTTAAATCATATTTTTCACTCATTAGTAACATTGTATTATGTAATTTTAGTATTTGAATGCCATCACATTGCTGATCCAATAGAAAGAAGGGACTGTTGCGGAAGGGGGTTGAAATTAATTTGACCAAAAGTAGTAGTTGACCTCCTCTTGGAAGAGAGAATGTTCAATGACTACTACTTAATACTGGTGTACTATTTATATTTGAAAAGTGATTCATGTTAGACAGGTTGTGATAGTCTTGCATGTGATTGAAGTTTTTAACCATAATGTCCAAAAGGCTTCATATAAGACTTATTTAAGTAAAAAGTCTTGTAAAAATGCAAGAATAATTGCTTTTATATGGTAATAGTGTTTAAATTTTGGCAACAGATTGTATAAACTACATGGGAAGTATGTTCTCTTAAATATTGTGTTTATAGAAAAATTATTGGGCTGCAATTTGGAAAAATTGTACACCAATAAATTCTGACTGTCATTCCCTCTGTCCTATCTTAATCTCAAGAAAGGAGTTAGATAAATGAAGGTCGAGACCAGATGTGGAAAGCTTAGACCAGGAGATTCAGATTAATTATATATAAACTTCTGGTTTGGAATGGAAGTAACATTACTTTTGATTCAAAATTTTGAATGGTGTTAGATGATCAACATGACTCTACTGATAACAGGAAAAGTATGTTGTACAGGAGCAAAACACTCCACACAGACAAGTGCTATGTGCTACCTTTTGCAGTAATGGTGAAATAGTGCATCTTTTTCATACTTTGTCATTGTTCACTTTTTCAGTGAATATTATAGGCTATATTTTTAAAATTATATCCTTTTTTGTAAGAATTATATTTAGTTAATTATTTTGTTAACTTTTTTTTCAATAGCTACATGTAAATCCAGCAATCAAATGTAGACAGAAATTAATCTATATATAGAAATCCAATCAATAATTTTGGGTGGGATGTATGACATGATCTAGGTTATAGATATTTGAATGCAACTGCTGGGTTTTGTAGCAATTGGTTGAACAATCTAGGCGTGCATAGCAAACAAATAAACATCTTCATTTATATATATAAATATATTGTTTCTGTAAAAATTCTGATTGCTCAATTGATTTGGATTGTCATTTGCATAAACTTTATTAGGTTTACATATCACAATAAAGATTTACTTAAAACTGAATAGGTATAATAGAAGTATAGTAATTTCATATTTTAAATAAGAAAATCATATATTATGATTATAACTTACAAAATATATATTGTAAAATGAAATTTATGGAAAAGCATCATTATATACATCTGTAGACATACTTTGGATAAGAAGAAGCATTTGATTGACCAATTCAAAAAAATACATCACAGACATTTGGGTTTCCAGTTCAAATGAAACTTGGTGAGCATATAGCCCTAAATACAACATGTTAATTTAAAACAAATATGTGAATTTAAGGTAAAAACAGTTATTGTGAAAGCATGAATCAATTGCAAAAATTGAATTCCTGTGGCAAGTTTCATAGAAATTCTTACGCCAACAAATTTTAATTATATTTGAAGATTTAATATGTAAATTTGAATTTTATTAATATTAAAATACATATTGAATATATACAAAGGATATATTCAGAATTTATAATATAAAAAATAAGTATTGTTTCATAATAATTTTGAAATATTTGAAAATTTTATTCATTTCAGAGATATGGAACAAGGTATAACACAACCCCCTATGATGACTTTTAAACAATTTCTTGGCTCTCAAGATGATGCTATTGATGATCAAGAAGCTGTGAAAAAGTATAATGAATATAAATTAGAATTTAAAAGACAACAAATAAATGAATTTTTCTTGAATCACAAGGAAGAGGAATGGTAAGTTTTTATTTAATTTTATTTCATAATATAGGATCTAAAACATATTTAAAATTTAAATAGAAATATTAAAGTGAAGCTTAATTTCAAATTAAATTTTTTAAATATTAAAAAAATGTTTATTGATGTTAAAAATTAATTTATTTTACTAAAAAATAAGTAAGTACTTTGTATGGGAAAAATCATTTTGTAAGTGTATAATGCTCTGTAAAAATATAAAATTTTCATATAAAAATTAATCATATTGATCCAGTTTTAAGAATAATGTGTGAAATTGTAAATAATTGTTTGCTTGTATAATACTTTTTCATGCTAATTCTTTTGCATCAAAAGGCTGATGATTATAAGATAATTTGAAATAAATATACAATGATGATCAAGAATATAAAATAGTCACAAAGATAATTCTTACAATATTATCATTATTGGCAAATATGCCTAATCTTTCATAACAATAATATATTTCTGTGAACATAGAGGATATATATTAGGAAAGTTAATTAATGACAATTTTTATCGTCTTTTATACAATTAAAATTAAAAAATTGTGTGACTCTTTTTTATGATACAAATATTTCAGTATTGCTCACACATACATAAATATTATTGTTATTATTACAGCATAGCAAAAATGAATTATTAAAATTATTCTGAAAAATACATTTTTTTTATCAAAATAAATTTGTTTATGTTTCATATTTAATGATAAAATGTTTTCTGTGAAAATATTTAAATCAAAATTTCTATAAGAACAATCTATTTTACAAAAAATTAATCTAATTTTATATAATTAATTAATTCTGTAAAAAAAATTTCTATAAGAAGTTTGATTTTCATTTTTCACATTAGTATTTTTAGCCCTTTAGGCTTATGTGACACTTTTAATAAGACAAAAGGCTTTAATTGAATCAAATATTTCTGTTACAGTTGGAAGAACTCTGTTAATTGTAAGTTAGATAAAGAAGAGTTAAATATAAAAAAAATATTTTTTATTTAAAATTATTCTTTTAATAAGTCAAGAATTTTAAGTATTTTTAAATTGAATCTTTTGGTTGTTTACAGTATAATTTTTTTTCCAAATTACTTTATTAAAATGAATATTTTCTTTTGCATATTTTGGTTAATTGATATAATAAAATTTTGAGTTTTGTCTTGCTTTTCAAAGCAGGAAAGTAAAAATGAAAAAGAGAATTGAATGAAATTGTGTTATTTACATATATTAAGAACAGTTTAATTTTAACATTATTTTCATTTAACAAATAAATATAAATTTTAAGATTCATCTTAAGTGAAATAATTTTTGATATTACTTATGAATTATTTTAAACTGTTCCTGTTTTTTAGCAATTACAAAATATAAATAATACTCATAATAAATATTTATTAGAAGGTTTTTTTTAAATTAAGTAAGATATCACAGCTTTCCTTTTTAAAATATTGAAAAATGACGTCAGATTGATTTCTTTAGATACATTTTATTTTATTATTAAATAATTTTAATTTGAAAATATTTTCATTTTATCTGCATATAATGGTAGAATTAAAATAGGAAAAAAATTAGAAATTTCTAATTAAAAGAAATTTAATGATAAATCTTACTGAATACATGATTTATTTTCCATTAAATGCAAAATACAGTGTGGTCCAGGAATGTGGTATGGCTATTCAAAGTACAAGCAAATTTATGAAATGCAATTAAATAATTTTTTTATAAAAATTTTTTTTTTTTTGGTTCAAATTATTTGTCAGTCTGTTCTTGAAATCTATTGTTTTATTCATTTTTAATTACATTTTGAGTATTACGATAACACAAAATGTTTAAATTACAAACAAATACAATTTTCTATGAAAAAGTAAAATGAAATAAGATTTCTTGCATTTATTCTGCTTTATATTGAAATATAAGTACAGAAGGTGATCTGGTGATTACAATTTATTTTTCAAAAAGTTAAAATCAATTTCAAATAGATATATTTTGTTGTTTATGATCTAGTTGTTCACTGGGAGAATGATTAAATCATGAATAATCTGTGAAATAAAAATATAATCAAAAATCATTTTTATTTTTATGTGAAAAATTTAATATTGAATTTTGTCAATTTTATATATATAACAACACATTCAAATACAGTTTGATCATTTTTAAGATTATGATTATTTGTTGTAAGTTGTTATATTCAGTATAGCTAACATTGGTTCAAATTATTTTGAAAACAAAAGTGTTGCATTTATGTAATATGATGTATTGATTTTTAGAATGAACCAATATTGAAAGTTGTTATTGGGCTGCAAGTTTAAAATTGCAAACCTATAAATTCCCACTGGCACCATCTGTCTGTCTGTCATTCCTTAATCTTGAGAACTGAGTTAGATAGATGAAAGCCAAGACCAGATATGGAAAGCTTAGGAGCCAGAGGCCTCAATTAACTATGCATGTACAGTACAATCTTTTGGTCAAACCAGAAGTTGCATTACTTCATTTCAAAAATTTTCCCCAGAACACAGATACAGTAGATGACCAACAAGGCCCACCAGTGGCCAAGAAATCTGTTCCCTGAATACTTGGAGTCTGGTCGTGGGTTCACGCCTTGCTCGGATGAGTTGGCCATGTGGAGCTTTCCAGGTTTTCTCCACATCTGTAATGCCTAAATAGGGCCAGTTTCTCTTAAAATACACCTCCCGGAAGGCATCCTCCCTAGGCAGATTGTCCAAGTGTTGCATTGCCATAACTAAACAAGCAAAAGATGACCATGACACTCTTGTTGACAAGAAAAGTATGATATACAGGGGCAAGACTACTAAAATCAAGAGCATTGTGCATCAAGATCTAAAAATTGCAGTCTAGCATTGGGACAGTTTGTTACTTTTTTATTTTTGTAATATAGCCAAATTAAGATAGATATGTTTTGGTCTTAAAATGAGATACAATGTAATGAAGAGAATATCTTAATTTCTTTAAATGTATTTTAAAAATTATTTTAATATTTAAAGTTACTATTCTCATTATGGGATATTCTAATTGTTAATTTAATTAACATTCAATTAATTAAAAGTTCATTAGTGCATTATTCATGTAATTTATGTACTTAGTTGTATTACTATGATATATTCTAAGAAGCTGCTGTGGATTATTTACTTTAGCTTTTTTTAAAATTGCAAAAATACTTTGCTTCAGCTTTTACCATTGTTTTTAGACCATTCTGTTTAATGCCTTTAAAATTAATTGAATTTGATGATGATTAATCTGCATAGTGTTTTAATTTTGAAAATTGCAAAAATTTATAGTTAAGATGTTAAAAAATAAAAAAACTATCTAAGTAACAGTATAGAAATATAGCAGCAATAGCACACTTGAAACTTTGATCTTGATATAAAAACTTTTATTATTTATGTATGTTTATGATAGAATATATTAATTTCTGAAAGAAAGAAATTTGAGTAAACCTTAAAACTCCAACTGTTATTGTTGCTCAATAAATTTTCAAATAAAAGTAAAGTTTTTCAAAAATGACACTTTATAAGCGTATAAATGAAAAGTACAGTGGAATTTTGTTAAAATTAACTTTTTATTTTATTTAGAAAAATTAAGTTTATATTATTTGTATCAATTTTAATTATTCAATTATTTTTTGCTTTGTATATAAATTTTATTACAAAAATATTAAATATGCATGTTATCAAAAGCACACAATAGCCTATCTTCAAAAGGATTTATCATCTTAACATTGAGAAACACAACCAAATATTTTTGTATCTAGATCAGCTATAGACAGTTATTTTGACTAAGTTACAGTATCATTTAAATAATTAGTTCATTTCTAATGTCAACTGATAATTTGATATTCTATTTTTTGAATTGTGTCTTAAGTTCCACTTGGAGAACTGATGATAAACTGAATTAGTCTGAAAAAAGTTTTTGTAATAAATATTTCAATTTCTTTAACTTAACAATTTATTTTTGGAATTTTGAATATGGTATTAAGTTTATATAATTCTTTGATCTTGTTTAAATTATAAGCATAAATTTTACTCAATTTCATCTAATAAAAAGCTTATTAAACAAAAATTATAATTATATTTAGCTTTGCATGGCAAAGAAATTATCAAAATTATGAAGGTTTTGAAAAAAATCAAAACTAATAGAATAAAAATAGCACAGAATATAGAACAACAACTAATTTTATTTTATTTTTTGCATTGAATTACATAATTGCAAATGGAGTATTTTTTCCAATGTGTTAACATCAAGTTATTTAAATTAAACAATGGCTAAAAATCACTACAACATAAATGACAATCAATCAAAATGCAATAACTTTCTGATCAATGGGAATTATCCATTTTGTGATGTGAACGAAATGGAATGTGAAATGATTGAAATGGAGAATGTTTTATGCACATTTATACTATTCAATAGTTGGTTAAAGTTGTGATAGTGATAAGAACAATCAGTTCTTTATGATGATAGATGATTAACAAATCCAGAAGATACAAATATTGTAGATAAACAATGATTAAAGTACAAGAGACTAAAGCTCTATTTGAAGAAAATAATACTAAGTTATTATAGAAACAGAAAAATTAAAAGTTTTGATATACATCTGATCAAAAACACTTAAAAATTAATATTTAATTTATTATGTTTTATATTTATTTATTCATATTTGCTTTGCTGAATTACTTCATTTGTTTTGTTTATCAAATGAATATTAAGGATTTATAAACTTGTGCCATCTCATAATCACAAAATAGTTTACAGTGGAACTTGCTTAATGATTATCTCTCATAATGAGTAATTTTCATTACATGCAAAACAAATTGTAAAAAATGACTCACATAATGAGTGACGAGGAGAGGGGAAGTCCCAAATTGTGTGTGTGTTACATCAGTCTGTGTTTAGCACTCGTTCTGCTAGTATCTTAGTGTCATTTGTGATCACATATTTTTTCCAAACTTGTGTTCAGACATATTACAAATAAACTTCAACCACCATAGCCTGT